TTAGCTGCTTTCGGAGGCCATCCAAATGAGGGTCCGTTCCAAATGACCGCAACGTCTAATGAATACCAGCGCGATGTCAGCGATGGACAGACTTTTAGCCAAACTATGAGGGCATCGAATCAGATGCAAGAGTTGGACAACGAAGACACCAATGAAGGCACGAATGAGGCCTCCAATGATGACTCCACTGATGTCGAGTCCAATGATGAGACGAACCAAAGCTTTCCGAACGCCGAAGAGATGACTACCGAAGACGTCAAACCAATTGAGTCTAACTTTTCTGTACAGCATATTATTAGCCATAACTCTGGAGCACCAGAACTGATCTCAAGTGCAAACAATACATCGGTTATTGTAAATCCCAATCAATTATCTCAACCCACGGACCAACTCGAAGAAAGTTCTGAAGATTCGGCTCAAACCGATGTCGACTCTATTAAAGATGAGAACCAATACATTGAAAGTGTTGACTCATTAGACACCGAAAGGTCCGATAAAGTGATTAAAGATGCCGAAGAAGTCAAAGAAGTAATTAAAAGCGAATCGCCTGTCATTCAAACAAAGACTGAAGAAATGATTGAACAAAAAGTAGAGATCAAACCTGAATCACAGACTCCAGAAGTAACTCAAGAATCGATTGATTCCTTCATCAAAGAATCTCCAGTTCAGAGCATTCAAGAGATTTCTCATAAACCTGTTGTCAAACAGACTTCAGATATTACATCAATGGTTAAGACGACACTTATAACTGCAGTGAAAGATGAGACACAAAACGGAGACATAAGTGAAACGAAAGGCAAAAAGTTGACTAAAAATCAGAAGAAAAAACAGAGAAAGAAATTGCAGTCAAAAAGACGACAATTGGAGGCAAAACGTAAAGAACAAAATAATATCAATGAAAGCGATGACCGAATGGACGTCGAAGAGGAAGACGATGAAGAGGTGGAGATCGAGTATATTCCGGATGCGATCAACAAAGACGAGACTTATGTCTATTTTGCTAAAGTGTTCGACAAATTCAGAACCGGAGAGACAGACAATAGGGAGGATTCACACGAGGATGAGGTAATGGATTTGGCGAAGAAGATGATGGAACGCAAGAAACCGGTGGAAATGGAGCTGAAGGACGAGGACGAGAGGAGAGATGGAGAACAGAAGGTATCGAAACGAAAACTGAAACAAATGACACGAATGACGGTTTCGGAGCTCAAGCAGAGAGTGAGTCATCCGGAACTCGTGGAGATGCACGACGTGACCGCCAGAGACCCTCTACTGCTTCTGCACCTCAAGGTATGACATATTGTCTTAAAATTTCTTGCGATAACAATATTTTCTATGTATTGAATGACCCGTTGTTTGAATTGGTTTGTAGGCGACGCGCAACTCAGTTCCCGTTCCCCGTCACTGGTGTTATAAACGCAAGTATTTGCAGGGAAAGCGAGGCTTCGAGAAGCCGCCGTTCAAACTGCCGGAGTTCATCCGCAAGACCGGCATAATGGAGATGAGACAGGCCTTGCAGGAGAAGGAGGAGTCGAAGTCACTGAAGGCGCAGATGAGGGAAAAGATTCGGCCGAAGATGGGCAAGATTGACATCGATTACCAGAAACTTCACGACGCCTTCTTCAAGTGGCAGACGAAGCCTAAGATGACTATTCACGGCGACCTCTACTACGAGGGAAAGGAGTTCGAGACCCGACTCAAGGAGAAGAAACCGGGAGAACTGAGCAATGAGTTGAGGACTGCACTGGGAATGCCTACCGGACCCAACTCGCAGAAGTGTCCGCCTCCGTGGCTCATAGCTATGCAGAGGTACGGACCGCCGCCTTCCTATCCCAGCATCAAGATTCCGGGGCTCAACGCACCCATACCTGACGGCTGTTCGTTTGGATACCACGCGGGCGGTTGGGGTAAACCCCCGGTCGATGAATACGGTCGACCTCTTTATGGCGATGTGTTTGGTGTCAGCACTGCTAGTGATCTGAATCTTATTGAAGAAGAGGTCGATCGCACTCTTTGGGGAGAAATGGAAGACGAATCCGAAGAGGAAGAGGAGGAAGAATCTGAAGAAGAAGAGACGGAAGAGACTGCCGGCGCTCCCAAACAGGCCGCCAAAGAAGTGGACGAAACAGGTTTCGTGACACCGGCTGAAGGATTGATAACTCCGAGCGGTTTGACGTCAGTTCCGACGGGCACTGAGACGCCCGATATGATTGAGTTGAGGAAACGCAAACAGATTGAGGCAGAAATGGAAAGGTATGTCACCTCTTATACGTACACTCTTTGATGCCTTTACTAATGACTTATCATTTGTTGTGTTCAGTGGCGACAACCCATCGCTCTATACAGTGATTCCCGAGAAGAAGGGCGAGAAGATGGGCCGCGAAATGATGGGTTCGGCGCATACGTACGACATGAGTGCGTCTACACTGCGAAAGGGTCAGGGCGTGGATGTGGCGCTCGACCCGAGCGATCTCGAGGCCGGCGCCGGTCTGGACTCGGCTGCGATGGCCGCCAGATATGAGCAGACGATGAAAGAGCGGTCCTCGCATTTGGCGAAAGAGGACTTGTCTGATATGGTGGCCGAACACGCGGCCAGACATAAGCGTAAGAAACCCCAGACCGACACCAAACAGAATAAGAAATATCAGTTCAAGTTCTGAATGTTGGCACCGATTCACACCTATTATTATAACACACTTGCAATCGACACGGAATTCAATTGTGTTTTTCATGTAATTTATTAGTTTTTTCAACTTTTTTGCAGTTAATTGTAATCACTTTTACGAACTCGTAATAATTAATTGTAAATGTTTTGAAATGATATATGTTTTCATTTTTATCGATCAGTAATTTGATTCAGATTTTTGTTTTGAAACAAATTTAAATAATAATAAATGTTATGAAATAATATTCAAATATATTATTAAACTGCGAATCAATTATAAATAAATTGCTTCAAAATATATACTGTATTTGCAAATAATATGAATAAATGTTTTGAGTTTTTCCACAAAAAATAAATGATATATTTATTGAGCAATAATTTCATGGTTTGTTAACAAAAAACAATATCAAAACAATCGGTGAAACGGAAGACTATCTGATCTTCTTTCGCGACTCTATACGGTGTCTGTGCGACGACTTCCAGGCCATGTCATAGCAGACACCACCCAAATAGTAGAAGACTACCTGTGCTGCGAGCGAACCGCCCATAAACACAGCCCTTTGCGGCCAACTGAGTACTGTTAGCACGGGATACACCCATTGCTCGGTGTGGTAATGGATCCACAGAAGCCATACGCCATAACTCATGAACACAACACAGAGTGCTATCAGTGGTCGTGCGGTCTGTGCTCTTCGGTTATGACAAACCAAATAGTTATCAATCAATGCAATCATAGCCACAAACGTATGCGTGGAGTGGTTCAGCCAAATGGGGTAATACTGTACGCTTCCCTGTTAACCACGGAAGCCAATGAACACTATTACCAACAGCCGGTTCCGCAGTATTCAATGCCTCCCCAACAGGTCTACGAACAGACGCCGCCTTACCTCCAGAACCCATACGAACCACAGTATCAGTACCCGAGTCACCAGGTCTTCAGTCCACCCCATGAACAGCAGTACACTCAGAGTCCGGGCGCCTATCAAATGGCCGCTCAATTGAGTCCACGAATGGCTCCACAAATGTCTCCTCAACTGTCGCCCCAAATGGCGAACCCATTGACACAGCAATTGAGTCCACAAATGGCTCGACAGTACAGATCTCAGGAGTTCCAGAGCCCTCACAGAGCCTTTCAGTCCAATGAGTCCGACTATCAGACAGAATATGGCGGACAACCAGTGGCGGAACCGATGCCTCATTACGGCCATCACGTGCCTCATGTGGACATGCATTCCATACCCGCAACTCAGGCACCTATACCTCCGGCGACACACCTCCGCAGACCACCGGTCATAGAGGGCTATGTCTCGGAGTTACCGCAACCGCAGAGTTTGCCGCCAGAGATGAGTGTATATAAGACAGAGACCGAGCCTTTCATTCCAACGCATCCATCGATGATTCCGTCCCAACATATGGTTCCCACGACTCCTCAGGATATGATTGACTTCGACGACGTGGCTCTTGGAGTCGATCCAACACAAGAAGTACAATATAGTCAACCCTTAGCTGCTTTCGGAGGCCATCCAAATGAGGGTCCGTTCCAAATGACCGCAACGTCTAATGAATACCAGCGCGATGTCAGCGATGGACAGACTTTTAGCCAAACTATGAGGGCATCGAATCAGATGC